CGTTCTGTTTCATCTGGAACGTACTTTGACCGACCGGGACGGAGGCGTTCCTGCCCGCGAAAGTGTTTGGTTGGTGCTGCCATCTGTGTACTATAGAAAGTACGGAACATGTGACGTACTTACGAGTTGTGACATCGTGATCGTGGGAGGCTGGGGGTCCAGCTGTTCAAATTACGCAACACCCAGGCCACTACAATATTACGACTGTGACGTCACTACTACTGCACTGACGTCACAGTCGACTGCTCGATGGAGAAGCACTTTGCTTCGGATTCAATAATTCCCCCCTTAAACCTCCCATCCCTCTAGATTCTCGTCCTTGTCTCTTGTATCACTTTATTCAATGTTGCTTTGCGGAGACGACTCCAATTGTAAGTAAATAACATAATCCTGTCCCGACCAATACAGAATAATAAAACAAGCAACTAATACGACACGTGAATCAACATCAACACAACAGCAGCACATCATAACGCCAGTACTTAAAGTGAATACACAAACAAACAAAAAACATTAGAAAAGCAAAGTTTCTAAGCAAACATTCTGAATGCTAAATATTATCGAATCTCACCTCAACTATAAAGAATGGATTAACACAACACGCACGTCAGAAACAAGTTTTATACGTAAATATTTATTTATAAAGTTAACCAAGTGAACTTCACTTAAGCGGCGAGTACGAATGTGTCTGTCTTCTGGGTTGTAGTCTGGTAAAACTTTACAGAGTTCCCTGCTGTCTCCATCATCAGGGATCATCGCCCTGATGATGTAGACAGCACGACGCTATAACCCAGAACACAGCCGTCTTATCAAAGTGACTTTATACATTTTAAGGAGAATTTAACAGTGGCTACATGACAGAACTTTAAAACACCTGAAACAGTTAGAAACACATTTCTGTCAGAATACAAATTTGTACCAAAGAACACAAAATATGACATAATAGAGTCCTTAAGTAAATACTCTCGGTATTTGCAAAGGACTTTCATTCTGCAGACACGCTGTACGGTTCCAGAAACAGCAGTCTTTTTTTTTATATTATTTTTCAAAATAAGCATTTCAAATGTTGCGGTTTTAGAACCAAATGTAAAGTTCCCAGGCTGTCACTTCCTGCCCTAGATTCTTATTAAATGACCTTGAAAATTAGTGTTCTGTGTAACACGGCAATTACTTTGTAACGAAACTTATCGTTTCAGTCCGACGTCACCCCGCGTTATGTCGCCACAATCTTTATCCGTGACCCTGTCTCTGTTCATTTGTTTCACCGGAAACCGACAACGAAATCGCGGAAAAAACGTGAGAAATGCATACAGAATACCAGTCGGGAAACCAGAAGAGACAACTTTCAAGATATAAGAGGATAATATTAAAGTTGTCCCTGTGGTTCACTAAACACCACGACATGAAGACGTGATGAGGAATGGAGTAATTATCTTTGCAACTTTAAAATTCCCTCACGCGTGGGATATATCGATTTTAGTGATTCATAAATAAAGGCGTTATATATCTC